ACCCCAGGTAACTGATGATGTAAGGAAGAGCAGAAGGCATAATCCCAGCTATATAATTTCCTCTCCTGCCTCTCTCTGTTTCTTATTACAAATTCTTCCACAATCTGGAAAGAAAAGTTTCTTTTCTGATTGTCTTTATTCTTTCCCATTTGGTAAAATATTCTGCACCTGCCTCTTACCTGATGCTGTTTTAATTTTACAAAAGTTCAATTTCCTTTGCCTGGTTTGTCTGTGGGCATGTGTGTCTCTGCAGTGAACTTCCATTAAAGATATCAGCAGGAACATGTTCTGCTGTAGAACAGAGTCCTGCTATTAGCACTGCAAAGACAAAAATGGGTATACAATCACGCAAAACATCACTTGCCATATATGGAAAAAAAAGTTATAAACAGTTATTAAAAGGAAGCCTTGACTTTTTACTGGTAATGTAGAGACTATACTTGTCCTAACTCAGGGCCCCTAACTGTTAGGAGCACTGTAGCACAGAGCTCCTAGCACCATATCCAAGCACAAAATTTAAGGTTATAATTTTGGGACAGAGAATTCTCATTCAAAGCAGGACAGTAAGGCTTAAGACACTTATATTCAGACTGTTGTGCTACAGATCTGCTCAGACTGATCTGGGGCAAGCCACAAAACCTCTTTATGGTAGGATTGGGCAGTCTATAACTTGTGAATTAAAACACGTTCTAAATATAGGTTTGAAGCACATCTAAGGATGTTCAGATTGGTGTTCATTGTTTGAAAGTCACAACATGAAAACTATTTGCTGTTTAAACAGATGTTGAGCTTCATCATGATACCTTTAGGTGGAAGCATATTGTTTGCAAGGCCAATTTGATCTTTACAGAAAAAAAAAATCTATTGGAGTTTGGTCAAAAAGAAAACCGCTTTTGGTGGGGAGAACAAACTGTTTTGTTTGGGTGAGTAAGAGAAAATAGAATAGAGAAGACTGGTCTGTAAGAGCCATCAGGGACCTGTGTTTAGAGTATTTAAGTTTCTCTTTAGGGCTACTAGCCCTGCACAGCAAAGGACCAGGGCATGTAACAGTGACTTGGGTGAAGTCAGGCAGTTCTATTGGCCTCAAAGGTGTGAAAGGATTGTCTTCTGAATTCAACCCAATGACCCCTCTGTAACTTAAATGAGACACAGGCTGGGAAAGATTTCTTGTCATCAATCTCCTCTTTCCCCAGCAGACAAGATAAAAAAGTGTATACACAAAACTTCTCAGCCCAGCTCAGGTCTCCTAATTATTATCTTTTTTTTGCCTTGAACAGACAGCAGTTCACTCACTGCCTCGTGCAAATACAATAATAGAGCCTTCATAAAAGGGAAAAAAACTATCCCAAACCCTAAAAGTAACTAGATCTCTTCCTCTTCTGCATTTTCCTTAGTCAAAAAAAAAAAAAAGACACCTTATCAACAAGTGAAATCAAGAGTTTGTTTGGCATGATTTCCAGGTTACTCCTATATTAGACCAAATGAAATTTCTGTCAATCAGTCAGTCAACTTGCTGGAAAGTTGATCATTATTCCATGATAAAAGTTTTTTTAAAAGTAAAACATGAGGTTATCAAAACCAGATTGGTCCTTAAAGGCTGGAGAAAAGTATTCAAAGAAAGTCTCTATCCATTATATCTTGGAAGAGCCAGGAAAATTAGAGACTTATATCACAACTTTTTCTTTTTCTTTTTCTTTCTTTTTCTATTTCTTTTTCTTTTTTTCTTTTTCTTTCCATACTGCATGTCTGAAAGAACTGATACTGCCTATCACTCCATCAGCCTGCAGTGCTCTGATTGTGATCTGTCCAAGGCTCAAATTGATGGAATGTTGATGCAGAGCATTGGGACAATGTCTAAGGAGAACAGGTGACCTCAAAAGCCCGAGGCTGCCTTATGAAAGTCATCCCAAAGAGTGGCACTTACCAGAGCACCTCTGGGTAGGCTCTGCTCAGAGGCCACAGACAGATTGGGTGGGATGGTTCCCTGGCCTCCTGCAGTGAGAGAGCAGCAATTCCAGGGGAGGATTTGGTCAGGGCAGCAACCAAAGGCTGTGCTCACAAACCAAGTCTGGTGCTTCTCTTCTGTATGGAGTTCTGCCTTGGATTTACCCTAAGAGAGCTCTTTTGCTTCCAGATCTACCAGCTTAATCTTACAGTCCTTTCTAACTTCGTCCTGGAACTGTTTTAAAAATCACACATATCTGAAGGATAGCCATGTTGAGATCAGTGTTTCCTTCTTTATTCTTTGGAGGAAGAGAAATTGGCCAAAGGTGTGAGAAGAGCTCAGCTGTGTGTGGAGGTTTGCAAAGGATGAAGCCTTCTGAAGTTCCAAAATCAGCTTGCAGGACTCTTGTTCTCTTTCTTAGAGAATTCAGGTTGGCAGATCAAGCCCAGCCAGCAGAGATTATTCCTTTCTATCCTTCTCAGAAAGGAAGGGTCAGAATTCTGCACAGGTTACTCTCTAGGCAGGGGAAGCTCAATTTGTCCATTTGCACTGGGTCAGAAGAGATTAATATTACGTTTCTGCACAACTCTGCAAACGCCCACCTCACCCAGGTAGTCCTCTGTCAGCAACAGCCCATTTCCAGCATACAAACCCACTATTGTACTGTTTATGTCAGTTAATTCAGCCCTGTGGACCTTGTGCCAGGCAATCTCATGGCTCCCTGCTTGCATCACCTCAGCCTGGATAAAAGTTAAAGTGCAAAATTAAAACATCAGCTATTGGGAGAGCAGGAGCTGCCTGCCAAGCCATTCCCACTCTGGTCTCCCATTCGCTGAGAGCCTACACCAGAGATAATCTCTGCACAGTCAGGATCCAGTCAGGGTGCACCTTTCTGAAGAAAATTGTTTTGCAGCTCACTGCAAATACCCTGACTGCTCTTGAACTGTAGTCTGCCTAAACCCTGACCCTGTGTGCCTCTTCCTGCCTCTCATCCTACTGCATAACAGGAATCTTCTTTATGAGGCAACTAAGTCAGCAGTCAGTCCCTCTCTGGCCTCAGCTTTCTGTTGGAAACACAAGGGTGCTGGCTTGTCCTTGCCTCTGCTTGGTCAGGTGTTCTCCGAGGTGGTTAGTGAGCTTCCTTACAACCTTGGGCCCTACTATTGCTAATGCCTTATTGAAGCTTGGCTCTTGTCTCTTCAACATTTAAAGCATCTTAGAATTTTTGCTGTGATGATATATCACTGAAGTGTACAAAGGTATATGTATATATGTTTCATTTGTATTAATTCTGGTTGAGGAAAAATGTATCATCTGAATTGTACCACCTGCAACATTCAGATAATCTGATTCTGCTGTACTCTCAAAACCAGATACGTCTTCTCTCTGTCTCCATTTTTTAAACTAACCTGTTTTCTGTGCTGTCTTCATGTGTACCTTTTACTATAAAATACCATGAAAGACCTCTGTCTTGAAATCCTTTAAAGATAGGTGATCAGAATCATGTAACTTGTCCTCACATGGCCTGGAGACAAGTTAGGGCACACCATTAGTTTATATGCATTTGTTAATCCTCTGGTAGAGGAGATAGTTACACTGGCTTTGAATTTGAACATTCCTCTTTTCCAAATACTATTGAGTTTCTACAAAAACTGATTGTATGAAAAGTTGTAGCCTAATTTATCCTATTTTATGTTTTTTGCTTAGAGCTGAGCCACATTGCATTTTCTTTTATTCTGTATTACCTCCATCATCCAAAAAGCTCTGGTCTGCCCTTCGCTTCTCCTGGTGTTGTACATTTTTGCCTCAAATTACATTCTAGGTTTTATATTTAGAATTTCCCTCCTAATTTCTACTTTAAAAAAAAAAATTCGTTTGCCTGGCATAAGAGTAGGAAGCTTTTATCCGGGTATAGTTGTATATATTTTTGTTTTAGAAAGGCCTCTGTTTTTTGTCTACCTCTTAAGGATATTTTTACGTATTTGAGCAGCAAATATCTAAACATGAACTAGAAGCATAGGAGAGATACAAGTGAGGTTTGTAAGCGCAGTTTGAAAGGTGGAGAGTAGGTAGCAAGGGGCAAACAGAACCTTTAGTGCAGCTCCGTGTGAGTCAAGTGCAAGACTGCGTGTGGCAGGCACATGCCCGAGAGGTTCGCATGCTTTTGTGGAGAGGGACCTTCAGCTAGGTGTTGGTGTGCTGCTGCAAATATGCAGTGCAGTTGTGTGAGTGTGAAAATGCATGCTGGAACTGTGAAAGGACACAGACTCTAGCAGCAGTCGGCACATATGTAGAGCATTGAAAATGTGTCTTTCGTGAAATTACTTGTGTGTGCCAGTTTTCATGTTTGTGAAGACTTCTGAGGGTTTGTAGCTATGGTTTTTGTGCCTGGGAATGTGTGCTATTATCCTGAATACCTGATTCTGATCTCACATGCCACGACTTATTCCAGTGTGGTTTCATAAACTGCACTGAAGTGACACTGCTTTGAAACGGGATTTGGGTGCTGTTCTGCACGTGTTTGTGGCAGTGGACAAAGGTATGGAGAAACAGATTTCCGAGTGCAGCGCCGTGGACGCGCTGAGAGCAGGTCTGCATGTGCACGAAGTGTTTGTGGAGTCGCGTGTTCGCATGCAACAACGCCTGGGACACGCATGTTCCAGGGCACGCTGCTGCCTTGCGCCGAGCATGTGGGGTGCTGTGTGGCATCAACAGCCACGGGGCACCCTTTACCTCAAGTTTTTGCATAAGCCTAAACTCTCCAGCCGCTGTCCACTGAGACAGAGCGGCGGGTAAGAGGGAAGGGGAGCGAGCGCTGCCGCCGGTCCGCGGCGGGACCGAGCCGGAGCCGCTATCCCGTGTCACCCGCGCCGCTCCCGCCGCGTGCCAGGGGCAGCCCGGCTGCCGGCCCGCACTGCGCCCCGCGCGCTGCGGTGCCGGGTCCGGCGGCCCCCCCGGCCGTGCCTCCCCCAGCCGCCGTCCAAGCCCAGCCCCTGCGCGGGAGCCAATAGCCGCCCTGCCGTCTCCATCCGTCTCCCGGCGTTAAAGCTACAGCGGGGCTCGGGGCGGCGAAATCCCCCGTGGCCGTGTCCTGCGCGCCGCCGCCTCCTGCCGCCGTCAGTGTGTCCGCACGCGGGTGCGGGAGCGGAGCGGAGCGGCGCTGCCTCCCGCCGCCCTGCCCCGCCGCCGGGCTCGGGCCGGCTCCTCTTCCCGGCGCTCCCCACCTTCCCAGCCCGCCACAGTTTAGTTGTTATCTTGTGTTTTTTCTTTCTTTCTTCTTCTTCTTCTTTTTTTTCTCCTCCAACTGGGAATGCTCAAACTGGACTGATGGACATTTCCGAGCTGTGCATCTCCGACCCGCTCGGCTACCACAACCAGTGAGTGTGCCGTGCCGGGACCGGGCGGGTCGGGGGCGGGCTGGGGCCGGCGCCGCGTCCCGCTGCGGGTGGGATGGGGCAGCGACCCCGCAGTCCCGCTGCTCCGTGCCGCAGAGCCGCCGCCGCCCAGCCCCGCGGGGCACGGCGTGAGCCGGGCGGCTCGGAGCGGCCGGCCGCGGGCACGGCACGGCACGGCACGGCACGGCGCACCTCCGTGCCGGCAGGTGCGGAAGAGTCCGCGGAACAGCACCTGGGCGGGTAGGCGTGCTGGTGTGTTTCTTTCTTGCCGTGTAACTTCTCCCTCTAATGCTTCATCTCCTAGGAACAGGCAGCTAACAGTGAGCACTGACAGTCCTTTCTGCGCAGTTTTACTTTTCGTCTGTGCTAGGATTTTTATTAGATGAATTACTAGGTGCCTATAAAGAGATGTGCATATAAAATGATACGAACCAGGTCCATTAAAGCACCGTCTTTTATTTTGAAAGTCTGTTTTTCATCTGAAATGCGCTATGGAAATTCAGTTTCCCACAGACTGCTGTTTTGGATAGCCTGCCCGGGGAAAGAGTGAAGTGAGTCGGAGGGCTGGCAAACAGACATCCCAAGCTGGGACCGGTGGCTGGTACCTTAGCACCTGCTACTGCTCTTTGTATTCCGATGTGGGCTGTGCCTGGTAATGCTGTGTTTAAAATGACTTTAGCGTCTTAAGTTTGGTTTCATCCTGTTGGGGAAGTTAGGAAACAAGGCAAAACCTTTTCAGCGTTTACATCCAGCTGACTGGAACAATTAATTTTAAATGCGTTTCTCTGATAAATTGCACCCTGAGCAGAGTCCTCTTTTGTGTGTTTGCATGTTAATCCGTGTGTCACCTATGCAGGTTTTGTGTCATCAGAGGTGGGAATTAAATAATTTTGCCTGTTTCATTGCTTTTGTCTTAACAATACGTTGTATTTAGTACAATTAAAATAATTAAAATAATTAAAGTCAAATCATCCACAAATAGCCCTCTTGCCTCATTTCAGCTTTTATTTGTCTTTCTGTACCTTGTTTTCTGATATTCCATCTGTCTTTACACTCATTTCTCTTTCCTTTAATCCCCAGCTTCCAGCAGTTTCATTAAAATGAGACTTCATATTGTTAATAGAAATTAATAATCTAGCCCATGTGGTTTCCTTTTCCCCACTGGTGCTACACTTGTGGCTGCTCCACTTTGAATTAAAAATAAACAAACAGTTTCTTAAGGGAAATGTATTCTGTATGCTGCTGGGAGTCTTAATATTAAGGCAAAAAGAGAAGATGTATTTACCTTCATAAAAAAAGAAAATAACAAAATACCACAATGAAAACTTAGATCTTCATCACTTACTATATTGTTTCTTAACTTTTTTGTTTTATTTTTTGTACTTTTGGAATTGAGAAAAAGGAACTCAAACAACATGAATATAGTAAGAAGCAATCTGCATGATTGCCATTCACCTTTTTTACTTTTTCATGGGTTTTCAGTCAGCTCTCAAAAATGTCAAGTGCACCTTACCCATATGCACAACTCCTTGGCTGCTGAGTAGACAGATGAAGGTGGCCCTGGGGGAAGTGCCACTGAGCCCCTATGGCTTTACAGCAGAGACAGAGTGCTGCTTTTTGAGATGAGAAACTGTTGGAGAGCTCTTTGTTTTAAGAGGTGCTTGGTTCTGTGTGCCAGATGACCTTCTCTTTAACATTGTTGAGGTTTGGTAAAATAGAGAAATATAATTTAAAATATTCCCACTTCAATTTTTTCAATGTTTTTAATTTAAAGGAGTGTGACAGTGCAGGAAAGTCTGAAAAAAGTTACTGAGAGAAGAAAGATATGAGCAGCTTTAAAAATACAGTACATATAAAGGTATATGTGCAGTGTGTCTGGTACTGATTTGATTTACATTCTGGTTTTATAAGGCTAGATTTCACATTATACTCCTGTAGTTGAGGATGAGTTGGCCCAAGTATATCTGTTTAACCATCTTTTTGTCCCACTGTAACACAGTCACCCTGTGAACATACAGAGTAAATACAGGTGTTGTGTTTGTGCCTGTATCCCTAACTAGCGGTGTGAGCATAATATTCTTACTGTACTGATGTATTCTTTTGACTGCTAACTATTGAAATTATTTTAAATTATTTTCTTCCTTTTTTAATACCACTTTTAATTCTGTGGATGGCAATTTTTGTCACATTAAACCTTAAATTAGGAACTAATTTAAAAATACTGCAAACTGCTTCTTCTTGTTTAGTTGCTTGTTAAGCTATAGGAAAACATATGAGGAAAGCTAAAATGTTGGGAGAGAAGTGGATGTGGTCACTCAATATATGATCCATACAGTTCCCTGGAAACTGTATTTCACCTCATAATTATTGAAACAGAGAGCGAAGGAGCAAGGCAAAGGAGAGAAGAGGTGACTCCTTTCACCTTGGAGTTTGATGAGATCTTAATTTTTGTAACAGCCAGACCCGAAAGGAGTCTGAACAAAACCTAAGCAAAGGATTTCCTTGCCTCTAATTCGTTTTTCAGGTTTTGTATTTTATCTTGCTCAAGCAGTGAAAATTCCCTTTCCATTGCCTGTGTGTGCTGATCTAAGCGATTGCACCAGGAACCTGTGGAAGTTCTGGTTAGCAGGTGTGTGGCTTCTCTCAGTGCAGAATCTTTCAGGGAGAGTAAGAAAATGCTTTTTTCCTCATTTTGATCCTCTGTGCAAGTAGTCTAAGGCCACGTATGTTTTATTTTCTTACACAGAAATCTGCTCTTTAGCAACCGCTTACTACATTTTGGTACTGACCTCTGGGAGAATTGTTCCTGGGGTAGATGGTGCAGGTCCAAGAAAGAAGCTTTTGTATGAACTGGAATTTGTTTAAAGCATTTTCAAATTGGGAAATTAACAAAGGCAGTGATTTGTACCTGCAGTTTGTCTCTCAGGTGAGGGCATATGGTGAGAATACATTAGTTAAACTGTACTGACGGCGCCTGTCTGCTATACGGCAGGAAGGGAATGCGCGTGCAGACACCACAAGTGTACACTCTGCCATATAAAATATGTCCTTATAGTCACACACAAGCACATGGGTGCATCTGTAAATATTTGTGAGTAGGTATACACACATGCATATGTATGCTCATGTGGAGTACTGGTGTTGTATCTCCCTCATGTGCAAACCTAAGGCTTTCGGTAGAGAGTAGAATACGGCATTTTTACTTTCCCATATTAATTTAGTAATCTCGGAGAATTTTGTTTTCTGCCTCATTATAGTTGCCATTAGAAATGTTGTCAGAACTACGAAATTGCCATTTCTGTTTCTTATTAATATTCTACATGACAGATAGAAAGTGACCAAGGAGCCATTATGAAGGTAAAATAAAAATCACTGGCAAATGACAGCATCCTGCCAGATGCTATGTCTCTTACACTGTTTCCTCTGAGGTAAAAGAAAGACACATGAGTCACTGATGTAATAAAAATAAAAATTATTTTATGAAGAGAAGGAAAAAGTTGAAAGGAATAAATTACATATTTCATAGAGAGGTGAAATGGTATAATGTTGGAATTTTAGGGCAATGAAGGAGCAAATTCCAGACCCTGCAGCAGCAAATTAACAAAGTTGCTGTCGCTGACCCTAATGCATAGGCTAAAGTAATGTGACTTGATTTCAGAGGTTACTGGAAATCTCCATATTCTGTGAATGGGAGGAAATCTGAGTCAGAGAATCTGAATGCAACTGTCTGCTCTGAATATATCTCAGAGGCTGGAATTGGGAGGAGTTGTTAATTGGAGAGAATAGGATGGAGTTGTTTGTTTCGTTGACAGAATAAATTGAAAAACCTCTATAAGGAATTGGGGTAGTTACTGGGTTTCTGACAAGGTTCCCATCATAAAATGGGGTCTCAGTACACTAAGCTTAGTGAGCGGAGGGCTGATGAGGAAATCACTACCTTTAGAGTATTTGTATTAACTTTTCCTTCCTCTTCTAATTCCACTTGTAAAAGTAAACATGATCTAATCATTATCAATTATTGAGAAATATGGAAAGATCAATATATTTAAAAAATAGGATTTTTTCATTGTATTGATTTGAAGTAATCAATAAATATTGCATTTAGCCTGAGAGGGGAAAGACTTTGGAGAGATTGCATCAGAGAAAGTTGCTGTGATAGAGGTTTCATATCCCGTTTTCTTCCTCTCCAAGAGAATGTTGCTCTACTCTCTGTGCCCTTTCCACTGTTATTTCCCAGCCCTGTTTCTGCACTGTCACTACTGCTCTGAATTTCATGTTGTTTGAAAATACCTGTATTCTTCAAATTATTTCAGTTCCATAAGAAGTTTTGTGCATTGTGTCAGTGGGTCTCTTCACAAAATTTTCCATGGCTTGAAGGATACAAATTCTCTTAGGGAATAGAAACAGGGAGAAGGTAAAAAGGTTTAAACACGAGTGTGGATGAAATTTACAGGTTCTGTCAAGAGCAAGGTAGAATTTCTCCAAAGAGTGTAAAATGTCTAAGAGAGATTTAATTAAAGAAAGAAATAGTAAAAGTAGAAAAATGTGGTGAGAAATCTGGGATAACAAAGCCAAAATCCGTTCCCTATCTTCTTATTCTAACTTGTGCTCCTTGCTTTAAGAGTTGGGGGTCATAGAGCTGCACATCAGCAATTCCAGTGTAAACTGGGGAGACTAGGAGATTGTTCCCAGTCAGACCTGTTCTTTATTCTGTGGAGCTACTGGCGGTAACATTACAGCCAAGGAGCACAACAGAATTTTTAGTCTGCGCGGTGTGAGCAAGTAAATACAGCATCTGCCCAGAACCCAGCAGCGAGCGTCTTAGGTAATGCCGCTGTGGAAACTGGGGGAAAAGGGGAAAGATCAGAGTTTCTGTGACAAACTATGAATCAGAATGGTTGTTTGTTTAGTGAAGGAACTTAATAAAGAAGATATTAGCAGTATATAGTTATGGTGACCTTGCCTAAAAACAAAGGAAACGC